AGAATATCTATTGTGTTAAATATGATTAGACTAATGGAGTAGAGTCGCTCAACCTTTAAAAAATTGTCATTTCTTAAAATAAAATTTTCGTAAGAGACCGTAAAGATAAAACGTAAATATCATAACTAGAATTTCTTTATACCTTATAATAATTTATACTAAAAGTAATGTACATAAAGATAATGACTTTTATAAAAGGAAAGCAAGTGCTTAGTCTTAAAAGAAGATAAAGAAAAAGCTTCCGCTTTAAAACATGAGGGATGTTCAAAAAATAATTTTTTAAAATTATTTGAGGCAATTAACTGCGATGTATATTTCATACTTATTTTTGGATACTTATACTTCGCGCAGCCGCTACTCTCGATCACCCTTAAAGCCGATACTGCGCGACCAACTTCATCGATACCTTCGATATTTCTGGGGTGCACGAGATGTGGCTGTTTGTTAAGGTACTGTTTACAATGGCGGTGAAGAAAAACAACAGAAAAGGGTGGCCTTAATCAAGAGCACTGGTTTCTCTTTAGAAAGGGGTAGCGGGGTATTCTTAGAACGCTGAGAGGTGGTTGTCTCTCGGTGATCGAGTCCTTACCGGGGATTATTGATGCAGCGGTTACAATGAGAACTGCTTCAAACTACCTGTAATTCTCCCCGTAATGGATAGCCCCCGGGAAAGAAGCTTTTCCACGAAGCGCCTCGAATACGCGTAGATAGTAGAGGAAACGTAACAATGAGACGACTGGAGAACGTATTTCCGCCGTTTCACGAATAAATCGAAAGTTGCCGAAGGTGGCGAGTAATTAACGTGAATTGTTCGGCGAAGAATTATACAATATCGACTATAGAATGTAAGTGAATGAAACGCGCCTCTGTTAATTTTTCAGTTAATTACTCTAAATTTACTTTAAATTCATTTTCAAATTCAATTTTATTCAGAAATCTAATCATACTTGTATAATAAATTTCATGTGCCCAGCAAACACAACTAATTGTTATAATTTTCCATTCACCGCGATATAATTGTAATATAACAGCTATTAAACAAGTAACTGTTATATTGTTGAATGATAAATTATAACTAAGTTATATTATTGTTTATAGTTGATGTTTGTTGGACGCATAATTTGCATATAATTAATTACAGTATAATCTTTTACGTTATGTAGGTTGTATCCACAAAATTTTTTAGAAATCATTCTATTGAAGTAGAATGTCTGTTAAAACAATTCAAAGATATGTGTAAATACGTTTTTACATGTTAGTGCAGTATCACAAGTTGCAAAAATAACAAAAGGTGATAGAACATCTTTGAAATATTGATGCATTTGTGAGTGACAACATGATTACTATCAATCATCAATACGGTTAAATGCTACGTTTACGTATCTAAAATGAGATAATACTTCTCCATAACATCAGAATATGAGAGGCCTTCGGGCAAAAACTCGATCACTGAGAGACTGAAGCGCATCACAGTCTCGATTCACGTTCTAAAAAGGGAGCAGCGCGAATCGAACGTTGGAAACGATTGTACGTGCGCATAAAGCCAAGCATTTGTGAGCTCTTCCCATGCTCTTGTCCCTCCCATCATCCGCCACCTCTATGTACTTTGTGAGTAGTCCCTAATTGCGGAGTGCGATGCTCGACGACGGACGATCGATGAGTTCGGTCCGGTTCCTATCCTACGCATTTCGTTGAAAAATGAATCCACCCTAGACAATGTACCCCGCGCAGAATATAATTGGGATGGGATGTATGATTAATCGATCGGCAAGCTAGTCGTCGACGAATCGGAGACAAACTCACGGTCGCTCGTTAATTACCATGGCGCTTGATAGATCGCTCGTGCAAAGATACGGACGCGGTTAAGTGTTCTTCACGTAAGGATTAGTTATACCGTTGTTGTAGCGCAAAATTCTTAGCTCACGTAAGTCAGGTGATCATTCACATAGCTAACGTATGTAGACAGTCTGCAAGTAGTGGTTGCATCACATTGTGGAAGCTTCGTTTAAACGATATTTCAGCAAAATGCAGCCGCACTAATACATTCTGTACATACAGAACAATATTAAACTTTACGAATGATCGGAATGATACCTTAGAATTATGGCTGAGAATAACAAATAAATGTAACAAATTATAAATTCGTGTTTTTTAATATTTTTTTTTAGCACGATGTTTACGCGAACGCACAATTTACCAACTCGCGAAAAACGTGAGAGTGCCAAGAGATAATTGCTTCCGCCGTCGCCCGGTGCTAACAATAATATTGTCTTCTTCGAGAGTTGCGTTCCACGCTTGGAGAGATCATTCATTTTATTTACTTCGAACTTCAAATCAAAATAAACCTACAAGTGAATGTGCAAACGCAGTTTACCTTTATTCTATTTAACTCCGCTTCATTTTGACTTTATTTTGTATTTCGTTATTAAGCAAACGTCACGCAAAGAATTACAATTCTGCGAATGTTAAGTATTTCTTGTTTGGATTTCGCATATACATTTTTCTATTTTAAATTATATATGTGAATTTATATTTTTATTATATAAATTTATAAAAAGATTCTACATTGTATGAAAATCTAGATAATTGAAATATATATTTTATCACGGTAGAATTCGGTAGAATTTGAATTAATTTATTTTTTACAATTCAACTGCCAATTTACTGTATAATCTGCAGAAAATTTTTAGTTTTAACCTTTCATAATTTGAAAATAATTGACACTCTGAGATTTTTAAAAAAAGCTGCATTCTAATGAGAAATATGAGTACAAAATACACACACCTACACACACGCGCGCACGTGCATATACATGTGTGTGTGTATATATATATATATATATATATATATGTGTGTGTGTGTAATGAGTGTAATGAGGAGGTAAGAGAAAGACGAAGCGTAATGCAATAAGAGAAAAAATGGACAGGTGAGCATCCCTAACGACATTTTCATACTCGAGTCTCAACTTCTTTTCCGCGCTATTCTACCGATAAAACTTTTCCCATGAATATTTTATGAGTTGATCCAAGTGATACAACCCTCGGCCAACGATGCATCAATGCGGACGCTTTTCCCCGGATTCTCTCTTGATCAAGATCCCTTCCCTATCCCTGATTCACCGTGTCCACGACAGGATGACGATACATACGCGGACTTGGACATACACGATCCCTAAGCCCTCAATTTATATTAAGCTACATAGATTAGGTTTAAACATTAAGGGTATTTAGACCCGATTACAAACATGAATTCAAGGGATGTGCGATATAAGCGGTCACGAGGGAAAGCGGAGGCGTTTATATTGACTATACTACTGAGACTATCCCGTTTCTTCTTTAATATGGAAGGAAAAGGTTTCCCGGTACAAATGATCGTACATATTTTATTACCCTTAACTCTACTAGTTCTATAGAGGCAAGTTTATTTCTAAAAATGCATTTATGTAACTAATTCAATAGTATGGTCTTAGTATATACATTTATATAATCAATTTAATACGGGTTTCCCGACACTGTATACGCATCCACATTAAACATTTTATGACATCTATTAAACATATTGTGCAAATATAAGTTCTGTTATTTTTTATTCAATTACGAAAAGAAAATGTAAATTGATAGTCCGAATGATAGTCAATCGTTTAATAAAAAATATAAAACATAATGTCATTCTTTCTTTATTCTTTATATTAAAAAAGAAAAAAAAAACTCGAAGGAATGTTACATTTTCACTGAATCAAATCCCACATAAAGAATACGTCGATAATACGCGACATTTTTCCATTTTTCAGCCCGAATTTTTACCTTAGAATTTTCGATGGCGCCTGACACGCTGTATACGATCGTGTCACAGCGCGTCAACCCTTTCGGTTTCCACCTGGTCGCGTTCCTCTTATGGTAGCGTTACAGTGATCGCCACGAGCTTTTTCACGTCAATGCGCAACTTCTTGCGGAGTACCGAATCGAACTTCCGCATCGTTTCGATCGCTCTCGTGTACGGTTTCTATATTCTATCACGATTCTAAAGCTTCGTGACACGTAGAGTCTGTTTGGTGCACGAGTTGTCACTTTCTGTTTAGATCCCGTAAGGTATACCATCTCGACTCTTTATCTCTCTGTCAACTTTTTTACACTTTGTGTGCCGTCTGGATCTTTGCAGCGAGTGGTGAACTGTGTCTTCCGGAAAGACACTGTCTTCTTTTGTTCGATCCAGAGTTCATGTCGTTGATTCTCTTTGTGCTCATCTCCCTTCTCTGTTTGATCGGCACGTTTTTTCATAACAATTCCATCTTTCTGCTTCTGTTTCTTTTTCTCTTCCTTTCACACTTCACCTCGTGCGAGCTTCACATCTTGTCTCGCTCAAGAACAATCCTCGTTTTCATCACGCTCCTGACAACACACTTTTCTATTCTTCTATCTTTCTCTATCAGCTGCCTTTATCATACGCTTTCCGCAGTAGCTTTGTCTTTATCGCTTTTCAGTATACGCACTTTTCCGCCTTTCCTCTTTCATCCGATTCACCCCCGTCTCGTCCACTTTCTCAATCTTTCGTCATCTCGCTTCAACCATCGTGCGTCCATTTCTGCCTCTCCGATCCCCTCTGCCATTGTCTTCCTTTCTTCGTCTCAAACCCTCTCGGTGAGTGTCTCTCTTCAACGTCACTCTTTGCGCCACGTCTTCTTTCTCTAATCCATCGTTCTCTCTCTTTATCCATCACCCTTTCCATGCCCTGCTTCTTTCCTTCTTTCTCTCTCTAGCTATCTCCCACCAACTCACGCACACCCTCCGCCGTCGTCAAGCGCCGGTTCCGTGCGGATTGGTCCTGCGCGCTAGGGGATGCTGCGAGATAATCGTATCCCCTCACCAACCCCCGCGAGTCACCCCATGTCGAGGGAAGCAGCAGTGAGAGCCAGGCCGCCGCCATAGCCGCTCCCCGGGCAACGAAGGAGGAGAAACCGGCGCATCATTCTCTCTTCCTTCTTCCCTCCTCTACCGTTTCTCGTTCTCTCCGTCTCTGTCCGACGTTCCCGGGTGTCGCGCGTTTCGCGGCGGCGACGTTTTAACCCATATTTCAGTCTGGAGTTTTACCAGCGTGGCAACTCGTCTCGCACGCGCGCGAATCGACTACCGGGCGAGTACCGGGCAGCGAGAGTGACGTGAACCTGGACACGCGTGAATCTCTTCCGCGAGTAGCAGCGTGTACATCCAGCGAGAGCGCGTAGAGACGGTGCTGCTGGCGAGACGTCGACGACGATGACGACGACGACGACGACGATGACGACGACGACTTCCATGGTCATCGAGCGTAGAACAACGTGGTAAATGTGCGGGATGTCTGAATTTCTCCTTGACTACTCCGGTGATGATGATGACATTTCGGCGACGACGGCGGCGGTAGAGGCTTCGTGCGCGTGTCACTCGTTGACGTGGATGACCATCGTTCATTGTCGAGCGCTATTCAAGGCGCAAGGGTGATCGGTGAGAATAGTTTATGGTGATAGTTAGAGAGGACAGGTTCAAAGAATCTTAATGATTAGCGGTTCTCTTGGTTCGCGATAATATAAAATTTGTTAATAATTGTTTAACTGGTTAAAGAACACGGCATCTTTTAAAGATTTAGCATTCACACGTACGAATGCTGTCGGCGTTTGTAATTGATATCGCGTGTATGTGATGTACTTGATTATAGTGACATCGATGGTTCGTAATCGTATGAATAAAAAGCAAAGCGTAGTGAGATTTGTACTGCAAGAAGTTTGTGGTATTGAAGGCTGCGGCGAGCTATGAACTTGAGGATTGCTAAAAATTTTGTTCGCCGTGTTAGTGTGAGTGTTCGCTGGTAGGTCACGAATGCCATTGCATAAACGTGGTTCATGCGGATGGAACATCGTGGTGTCAATGCTGACCCGTATATGTCAATGACGATGCGGTCATCGAGCGATTGTCTCTAACACCCTAATGGATGATTTAAAGCTACTGTCTCGTGCCAAGCATGCAATTTGCATTAAACGACGATTACAGATGCTCGTCGCAACGTGCAACTACTACTGACTCTCGACGGAACGATGACGTAAACGCAGATGTCAGGCGTGGATTTTAGATTTTACTTAACGTAACGCCTTCTGGACGGGATACTAAGCAATCGAATGTTCTCATTAAACGCACATTAATTTTATGTTTCGAGACTGCAATCAATTTCAAAGGGGGTACCTTTGGTGATGTAAACAAGCGAAAATTCAAGAAACAGGAGAGAAAGGCGAAAACTCGAGGATACTTAGAATGGATTGGATCGTGGGAATTAGTACTTCACGAAAGGAGAGTCCGGAAAATTGTGCCAGAAGCTGCAATTGCTCGGGCACGAAGTACGCCGCATAATAAAACTACGCGTTTTACAAGACATCCTAGAAAGAGGTCTTGCCGGACAGAAGAAGGCACCCGTAGTCAATAACGTGCCGTCGAGTGTCTACAGACGAAGTACGCACGATATTCGCTGGAGAATTTAATTAAGCGACCAAACATCCAGAATACCTACGAGCCGAGAGCGCGTAGGTTCAAAATATATCTCGCCAGTGGTGAAGTCGATTGCGCGATCGGACGTCACGAGTGTCGCGTCATCGCGAATCGAGACGATTTAAACGTCGGACAGAAACTTTTAAACAAGGATGAGCGTGAACGTTTATATACTAAATTTATAGAGTCGCAAATCATCTGTACAATAGTTCACGGAATCTAACATTCGCGTCGCCGGACAGTGGGACGTGATTTTCGGATTTCTTTCATCACGTTCCTCGATTCGGCAATCGCGAGTGTGCAATACTAAACGCTGCACAATCGAATTATGTGGCGAGGAAAGTAATAATAATAATCCTGAGAAAAAAAACGAATTGCTGGTGGTGATCGATGATCGATCGCGGCGGGATATCGAATAATGGCCGTGTGTGTCGACCCGTGCATTAAGTGAACTGCCAAACAAATTGATCGCGACAATTCGATTGCCGGTGCATCTGACGCCTCAAGTTCCGCCTTTCGCCTGTCCGATATCGTACATACGTGGATGCGCGTAATCGCGGCTCATTAAGCGTTTCGAGCTTGAACAGCACTGGCCGTTTGATCGCGTCGCTTTATCCGTCAACGATATAACGGGAAAGTCGGTTTCTGCGAGTCACGTGGACCCGACAATTCCATACGGCGAGAACAGCAAGCCGAAACTGTCGATTCGCTGGAGAATCAGGAACGCGACCGATTTAATCGATATACGAAGACATCCCGCCGAGCCGATCCGTTCACGATTCCTCCTCATTCGTGCCGATCACGAACCAATCAAGCGCGACTTTAAGTGCGTCGACAGCAGTAATATTCTGTTTCCGCGACTCGGAGCGGAATTTTGCCGCGAGTGTGTCGATCGTGGGCCATTATATCGCGTAAATTTACCGGAAAAGAGAGTGCCGGTGATTGTGACAGAATCGAGGTGTCGATTCTAAAGTCGATTTGATACGAAGACGCCGATCTCTCCTACGATTCGCAAGAAACGTAGCTGCTCTCTCGCGATACTGTAGGGTCCTAATGACGTCACCGCCTCGGCACATCACGAGCTGCGAACGACCAGATGAGAGCAGACGGTGTGCGGAAACGAAAGTAGGTATGTGTGTTGCGCACGTGTACGTTGTTACATCAAGTTGTTCTTTCGAATCGAGAAAAAGAGAGTGAGAGAAAGAGAAAAAAGGGATAGGCGAGAGCTAGGAGAAAAAGGAGGTGCGAGGAGAGAAGCAGTCATTTTTGGACCAAGTGGATGATACCTTTTCAAGAGTAGCGCGGTCCGCGACTGCGTTTGCCGTTCCGAGTTAAACGACGCACGAAGGGAGCTATGCCCTTTAACATCGCGGAAAGATCGATCTCGCGCACTCGAAACGTCCGGCTCTTGCAATTCGTTTAATCGAAGCCGAGAGGGATGGAATTAACCCTCGTTTGATGCCCGGCGCGCCTTCCTCGCGTTGCCTCTCTCGATGTTTGCGTTTGCAGAACGAAAATGATCTAATGCAATTATCTGGGCCGTGCATTTGATCGTTGATCGGGTTTTGTAACAGCAGGCTATAACAATTCGTGATGTTATAGTCCTCAAAGTTATTGTAAAAAAGATATACAAAAATTTAGCGGTAAATTGTTGAATAATTGTTATAGTTCGCCTGATTTGTGACTCGCACTTATTTTAGCGATCTTTTGAAACTTATTAAACAACGCGGGAAATTATTATTATCTTTCCATATAGTTTGGGACTTTTGTATTGTTCGTCACGACAGTCTGCGAGAAATCTGTATCGAAAGAAATTTTCTTATAAACTGCAAATAAATGACGACGATAAACTAATTTCGCTTGACGTTGACATGCTACTTTCTTACGCGCGAGGAGCTTGGATTGGGGAAACGAAATTGAACGGCTACTTATTAACTTCGCGTTCAAAGAAGTAAAAGTAGCGCGGAATGCAATCGGCGATTCAGCTGGAATGAAACTCGATTGAGAGCAGCTCGAGAGCAACCACGAACCGGCATTCCATCATCAGACGCGCTTTATTGACAAAGGTATTTCGTATTACTCTTTGCAAATACTTGCGCTTTCTGCAAACGCGAAAGTATCAAACTCAGTGTCCTTCAATCGCAATCTTGTTACTCTATTGATGATAAAATACTTGTGATTCTTCTATTGATAAAATATTTCATGTTCAATCGGTATATTGTTCAGCGATAGCATGTTTCCACTAATATAGATTAACTTTAATCTGCGTTCAACTTACTTTTCATTTTTGTCTGATTCTTAAAACTAGAAAAAGATGAAGAGAAAGTTGAACCAAAATTAAAATTAACCCACATTAGTGGAAACGAGCAAAAGTGCAGGGATTACAGTCTGCCATGAACAAAAGTTAATCTAATTGAATAAATAATTGATATTTTCGAGACTATGCCACATCGGGAAACATTTTGATTTTTGATCTCCTCTCCCTCTTGATATTAATGTTCTCGTATTGAGACTTTCGGGAAGCTTTGCTTCCCTCTCATAGAGAACTTGCTCTAATACTAACTTATGTATATTTATGTACATAATTTTCTATATTTGTCATTTATGTCGCGCTGTTTAATATCATGTGACATTTAATGTTAATGAGTAATATACATAATAATTATATAATATGTGTAGTGTGATGTAGCTTGATAGAAGAGATTAGTATACATATAATTATTATATTAAAATCTCTTTCTCTCTTTGTATGGATTCACCGTAATAACGTAAAATGACATAAAATACAATAGCCGATCCAATGAATAATAAACAAGTAAACACATCCGAGATGTGATACATCGCAACATGTATAAATCTGGTATAATACTAACTGCAAAATGTGATTAGTCTTGTTTAACAAAACAATAATTACTGGATATATATACATACATGTATGCATACCGCGCGATTTATTTTCTTTGCAAAAAAATTTTTTTTTTAATAGCTTAATTCAATTTTGATTTCATTAAAAGATAGGTAACTATTTACGGGAAGATTTCTCGAGAGATAGCACGACAATTAAACCGATCAGAAGAAAAGTCAAATATCTTTACGGTTACGACATTCTCGGCGGCATTAAGTGTCGCTTAATGGCCGATAGCCGATACCTCGACGTTCGCCTCCTCTTATGTTGGCGATGTACGTGCTTGTAGATCGAAATGGATTGGATTAACACTTCCGATAATTACAAGTAGCGTTCATTGAGAAGGTAAGTTACAGATGACGTTAAAAAAAAATGATATGACTGGCAAAAACATTTTATTTGATAACCGAGAGTTTTGGACGGTCAATCATAAGAAATTAGCAAATACTAATTAGGACATTTAATTAATACATTAATGCGTTTAAGCCGTGCTATCTCAATCTCTCGATCTACAGTATGTTCAATGAATTTCTTAAATTGCCCGTAAAAATGAAATGTCAGTTGCAACAATTCGTATAAAATTACCAATTAATTTGATAGCGCATTATGAATGAGCATTACTAAACATGATGCCAGTCAATTATGAAATTAGTGTACAAATTTTTGGTTAGTGGTTTACCTCGTAATGCACAACAGTTACCTTTCAAAGGACATCGCTTACTACACTTTATTATTATTATTATTAAGCGTTAATACATTTATTCCCCGCGTGCCACTGTATCCTGACTAGTACCGTGTGATTATACATGTATTATATGTAAATTAATTTCCTGTCCGCTTATTGAAATTGGGATTGTATTTCATACTGATCACTCTGAAAGATGACGATAATTGACGGCGATTCGTTGTATGCGTTCATACGATTATGTACGATATTAAATTCGTCATGTGTCTTCTGTTGAACGCGAACGTCAAATACCAGATAGCAAAATAATTACGCAACAGCTTTAATCAACGCGTCATCGATGCAACGCACGGGATATATACATGTGCGAAGTTGTTAAACAAATCAATATCGCCGGCCCTTCGCGTGCAAATTAACGTTTCGTTAACGGGCGAAGTCGAAACGCGATAATTTCGAGCAAAATGTATTTATCTGAATTGTGACAGATGTCGAGAACAGCAAGTCGTGAGTGGAATGGAAATGTCTGTATGAAAAAATATTTGTGACATACAATACATTGCATACATTCCAAATAGACTGCAAATCTCGTACTATAACTCGTGCGTTATTCAATTTAATACAATCTCGCGTATTTTTCCTAATCGCGCATTGTTCGTATGATTAAAAATCACTGTTTATCTTTCTTAATTTTTCAATCCTTTGAGTTAATTAATTTTATTATATTATTTTCAACTTCCATATGTGTTAAAATGTAAATCATTTCTGTGTAGTTAATAGCATCCATGATAATGTATGCATCCAGTAAATAATAAATAAATTTGCGCGCGCGCGCGCGCGCGCGCGCGTGTGTGTGTGTGTGTGTGTGTGTGTGTGAGTGAGTTAAATTTATAATGCATTAATTCCTTGAATCAAATTATAACTCTTTGTTTTAGTTAAATTAACGACATATTCAGTAGGAGCAGATGGCGATCTATACAGAAATGATTAGAAATAACTCAAATTGAGTAACTGGGACATTACGAATTTAATTTGTTTGTGTGATAATTTTTATTTCCTCTCCAAAGAGATATCCATCACTTGTTATATTACTATTGAAATCATCCTATATTAATATATAATGCCATAATAAGTATAGCAAACCCCTATATTACTGCGCTAATTAGACTGGATGAACTGACCAAATATTTCGAAAATATATCTCTTGCTCTCCCACTGCTTTGTGGATAAGAGAAACCGCAACGTACTTTCCATCCGGTCAAAGCCGCCGCCGCTTTCGAAGATCGTGAGAGGATAGATCGTCTGGCGCATAATTCTGACGCAGATATTCGGGCGTATAATAAGTCGCATGGCGAAAGAAAATGGAATGGAAATGTTTTGGCATCCATTGAAATTTATTGCGGATTGTGCTCTGTGTGTGTGTGTGTGTGTGCGTGTGCGCGCGCGTGCGTGTGTGTGCATGTGTGTGCGTGCGTGTGTGTGGAGTATCTCACACGCGAGATCTCGGCAAACCTTTCTCCCCCGAGATTCCTTTTTTCTGGTTTTTTCGACCTCTGGTAATCCTTCTCTACCTCTTCTTGCACTGCGTCTGTTCTGCAAAAATTCTGCTTTTTAGCGGACTCAAATTTATGCATCACTTCGGCAATTTGCCACGCCAATAAATATCGTCGCGACAACATCCTTATTGATCTCTGATACAACGCGCTTTTCTCTGTCTGCGAGAAAGAAAAAAGAGAGAATCATTTTTTTTTATTTTTCAATGCCGAATTGCGAAAGGAAGAAATGAACGAGCCTGATTTTTAAATCCAGGCGGATTATATGGATGTTCGTAGAACGCGATTACTAATTTACCTAAATGTATTAATTAATTAGATGATTCGTGAAACGCGCGTGTTTCGATCACGATGCGAAGTGCTCTCGGGATTTGGGAGGAGTGAGAGTAACAAAGTACCATTTTCCGTGGAATTACAACGGTTTCTACGGTTAAATCGACACGCGCTGCAACTTTCCGGTCGATGCTTCATATTGAGGGCATTATCTCGTTTTATTCAAAGCGCCGCTGCCCGTTCGTATTCTCGCTGCCGGTATCGTTTATCGGCCAGCTTTATGACGTCATAGCGCGCACAACTGGGTTATCACGGAACACCTGTATAAAATAACGATACGATATAATGCTCTCGACGTAGGATGCAGATTAGATGACGCGGATAAACGAAAAGCAAATCGCTCACGTTTGACAGTTATAGATTATTAAAAGTTACGAGTATTATTAAAAAATAACTATCGATAAAAGCATCCTACGTAGGTCGTTAAAAAATAGTTGAAAAACACTAATAGATAGCAATTATTGCAATATAAAAATTCTCTACTTTAAATTAATAAACGTTATAACTTTGTAATTGTACGCTAAATGAATTATTATTATCCAGTTTTATAGATCGCATGAGTTTAGGAACATTATAGCAGCACGTTTTAATGCATGAAATAATTTAAATGACTCTTTGGTGGTAGTTATAAGCCAAAAAGCAAACCTGCGGTTGAA